TTTGTGTAGAGTAATAATATCAAACATCTTCCGGTTCGCCAAGATTGTTCTCCAAATCTCTTAGAACCAAGTGCAGCCCAGTGGTTAGAATGCCGAACTGTAGATACGAAGTTTCGTGGTTCGTGCCCTGTTATCGCCCAAAAAATTGCGCTCAGTACATCGAGGTCGTGAGTGCGTTATAACAGTAACAGTCAATTAAAGTAATCCACGATTAGAATGGGTGGAGTTGACTAGCTGTCTTCACTGTAGTCTGTCACTTCAATATTATTATTATTAGGGACGGCTGGACAGATAGACTTCGAGTAGCTTTGCGCGAAAGCCAACAACAATCTTTATTTCCAAACTTTCTTAATAAAAACATAAATTTTATTTAAAAAACAGCACTTTTAAAGAACACCATATCCTTGATATAAATGATAGGAAAGACAAATTATGTTCAGACTTAGAATTGTATTTGAACTAATAAGATATTGTACTGAATTTGACCCGGAGATAGGATTTCTATTACAACATAATTTATTACAAACTGGCCGCCTTCTCTTGCTCTGAAAGTAGAACTTATAACTTGAATCAGCATTGCCCCCACGGTGAGACAGCCGGAAGTATGACTTAATGGCTTATAACGCTAAAATCTGGGTTTCGATACAAGTTATTGGCAGAATACAGACAGCCCATTTTGTAGCTTTCTGCTTAACAACAAAGAAACAAAAATAACCGACAAAAACCTACAACAGCTCTTTACAGGTAATTCATTATTATAAATAAACGACTTAATATGTAATATGCTATTCTTGAACTTCATTTTAATGAAAGTTTTGCTATAGCATCAGCTCATCTAGTCGTGTATTTTAGTATAAATAACTGCCAAAGCTGTTGACCCAGGTTTGAGTCTGTATGACAATTTATTTTTATGTTATTTCATTTTCACGTTGATTTTAATTATATTTTTTTTTGTACAATCAGCATAATTAGTCGTGAAAGAAAGAAAAACACAATGAAAGATTGTTTAGAAATCAGAATGTTTACTACAAGCATGTGATAATTCAATAACTAAACAATAATTGTTAGTTGAATTTGAGGTACCGAAGTGTAATGAAAATTCCCAGTAGGGACAGTATACCAGGGAACGGTTATAAATGAATCCAAGCTTGTTATGTAGAACTTTCTGGCAGCATGAATTGGAGAAATCATGTCTACACCAGATGAAGATAAAAGCAAGAATAAGGATAATGCCCCACCTTAAAGTCGGAAAAATCCTAATGTGGTATCCTGTAGTCCTGGTTACGTATTAAAATTTCAGATAGCCCGAAATTGAGTTAACTGATAAATGTAAATTTAGTAGTTAAAATGTACTTTGGATTTATTACTTAAATTAAAGCCGATATATAGTCAGTTTATGATATTTGCCAACAAGATTGATACACAGTTTTCTTTTTAACACAAAAATGTTTTAATATACAAACAACAATACAATTTACAATAACAGTTATTACAGATAGTTATTACACACAATGGTTTACAAACTTACGAGCAATATAAAGTCTTCTTTCTAGTCTGAAACTTCCTTGGTATCTTATCGAGGGTTCACGATGAGCGAGTTAATTACGAGTTGATATAGGTACGATTCTCTTCACGGGAAGCTAGCTAGCTTTTTCCTTCATTATTCACCAGCCACACACGCCGAATTTTCCACGATGTTTCCAATATGTTTTCGTAAAAATACTAATGTCCGATGAGAATCCACTGGATTTAAATTATTTGTAATGTTCGAAATTTATAAAGGTTCCTGGTCAAACATCTGAAGTTTTCCGATTGATAAACGTTATAATAACCACAATTATAGTTTCCAAAGTTTATAGCACGCTGACTATAGCGAACTAATAATAGTTTGTTTTGAATTACGCGCAAAGCTACAAGAGGGCTATCTGCGCTAGCCGTCCCTAAGTTAGCAGTGCAAGATTAAAGGGAAGGTAGCTAGTCATCACCACCCACCGCCAACTCTTGGGGTACTCTTTTACCAACGAATAG